TGGGCTCAAGGAATTCTCTTGCCTCAGCTTCCCTAGTAGCTGGGACTACAGACATCTGCCACAACACTTGGCTAGTTTTTCTATTTTTAATAGTAGAGATGGCATCTCACTCTTGGTCAGGCTGAATGCAAACTCCTAAACTCTAGCAATCCACCCACCTCAGCCTTCCAGGATTACAGGCGTCAGCCACTGCACCCAGCCTAAAAGACTTTTTCTTTTTTTTTTTTAGAGACAGAGTCTTTGTTGTCTTCAGTAGAGTGCCGTGGCATCACAGCTCACAGCAACCTCCAGCTCTTGGGCTTAGGCGATTCTCTTGCTTCAGCCTCCCAAGTAGCTGGGACCACAGGAACCCGCTACAATGCCCAGCCATATTTTGTTGCAGTTTGGCCAGGGCTGGGTTTGAACCTGCCACCCTCGGTATATGGGGCTGGCGCCCTACTCACTGAGCCACAGGCACTGCCTGTAAAAGGCTCATTCTTAAAAGATTTTCTCTACTCACCGGCTTATTTGCAAATTTCCTGTAATCTGATGTTTCTCTACTCACCTACTTATTTGCAGATTTCCTATAATCTGAAGTCTCTCCTCAAGAGCCACTTAAACTGCTCTCCCTGACAATGTGAACAATCCTTTTGCAGATAAATCCCACTGATGCCTCTCAGGCCTTATCTGAGTTCTGCACAGCATTGAATGCTGCAGCCCTTCTTGGAACACCCACTTCCCTGCCCTTTACCTGGGGAGTGGTGCACTCCCTCTTTGAGCTGCTGGTCCACTTTCCTGCTCTTCTATACCCTCATGTTCAGGGCAGCCTGTCCTCAGGGGAAGGACAAACTTCCTTTCCTCACACTAATGCATTGTGGCCACTTCTACATCTACCTCTACCCCAGAGTTCCCCTCAGAGCTCCAGACATGCTGTACACCTCCACCTGGATGTCTCCAAGTATACTACCTCCCCATGCCCCTTTCCATGTTCTATTTCTGTGGATGGACATACTATCCATCCTGGTTCCAGAGCCCAAATCTTTGTATTGATTTTGCCTTCTTTCTCATCTATCAGACACATTCAATGACACGTCCTGTTGGCTCCCCCTTCGTGATGTCTCCAGGATGTGTCCACCTCTATCTTCTGCCATCACACTCCCTCAGTCCACTAGGATCTCTTGCTGTTATTCTTGCTCTCCTGCAACCTGTGCTCCTCGCAGACAAGTGTTGGTCTTGCTAGAATATGAACGTGACTTGTGTCACCCCCACCATCCATTTCCACACCCCTTCATTGCAAGCCCATCTGCCTTATCGTGGAATGGGCCTGGGTTCCTGCTTCTCTTCTCCTTCCCTCTTGCCCCTAATGCACTCCTTGGCTCAGTCATCCTGAACTACTTTTTCCTCTGCAAAGCCTGCTCCTTCTTTTCTGGAGTAACCCCTACTTATCCTTCAGGACTCAGCCTACACTGTCTTCTTCCAGAAAGCTCTGCCTGAGCCCCCAGGCTGGACTAGATGAGGATAGATGACTCTTACCAATGCTCCCATAAGACCCAGCACCTTCCCCAAAGCAGCTATTTCTTGGTATTGTAATTCTCATTAAATCTATTGCTCTTGCAAGAGTGTGAGGTGTGTGAGGGTAGATATGTGGCTACTGGGTTCATAGTTGAATCCCCAGCAGAATATGCAAGGAATATATGTGCACAGAAGATTTTGAAAGAAATAAGGAGTATTCTCCGAAGGTCACACAATCTATAGATATACACGAGGTTCAGACCAGATTCATGTATAGCCTTGGAAAAGCTCAAAAGGTCAAAATGGAGAAAAAGGCTGTTTGGTGGCTATGAAGAGTTTATTACAAAGGATAACCAGAGCCCCAGATCCACCCAAAGATATCCTCTCAAATCTGCCTCTAACTTTCATCAGATATAGGCAGGCAAACAATTTATTGGGCTT